ACATGTTAAGCTTATAAAATACAATGCATTGTAAGGATTAAAGGCTTTGGTTTAGATTCATTACAAACAGTTGTGTCTAGGTGAGAGAGACAAACACAAAGAGACACTTCCTGTCTAAACCTCTCAAATAATTTAATTTAAATATAAACCCTCAAAATAAAACTAATTTAAATGAAATGTTCAAGGCTTTTGGAGTTCAAACTATTATTCATTATTTCACAAATAAGCACAGATTACAAAAACATTCTCAATGATTAATAGAGATTTGTGTAGCAGGACTTTATTTTTACTCTCTATTTACATCTCACAACCCCCAGATGTTGTCATTGTTTAATATTAAATATGCTATTTATTGCAGTGTGTCACTAGTAGTAATTCGGTAAGTGTAGTATTATCATGAATAAGGCTCCCCCTGGTGGTGTAAGTAGACTGCATGCTGTGCATCTGAATTAAATCACATGACATGTGTACTGTCCAGGGTAAGAAAGTAACGTGCATCAATATTTACTGATGCTTTTAAACTGATTTATTTGTATTGATGCATAACATGCCAGCCTAAGTCCTATAAACAGTTTTCTTGTTTGTTTTTAAATCCCTAGACCTTCCCTCAGTGTCTCTCCTCCAGAAGACTCCCTCCTCCCCAGTCAGCTGCCACGCTACAGGTTTCTACCCTGACAGAGCCATGATGTACTGGAGGAAAGATGGAGAGGAGCATCACGAGGACGTGGACCACGGAGAGATCCTCCCCAACCACGATGGATCCTTCCAGATCAGTGTGGACCTGATCCTTTCATCAGTCGCACCTGAAGACTGGAGGAGGTACGACTGTGTGTTTCATCTCTCTGGTGTGGAGGACGACATCGTCACCAAACTGGACAAAGCACAGATCAGGACCAACTGGGGTAAGACTGAGATCAGATGTGATGGAAGTTTAAAAACTAACGCTAGACCTGGATCATAACTTCAGAGGTTATGCCCAAAAGCATTTTGTTGTCAATTCAACAGACGAGTTGTTGTGACTTTTAAATCTTTAACCCTCCTCTTAATCCTGATAGAAGAATCAGGTTTGCAACCTCTTATCCTCTTCTTCTGACTCTTATTTTCATAGTTTGGGCAATTATTTCTATGATAACATTGTTCTCATCATCTGTGGTAGAGACAACGTGTGAATGTTTTGTGTTCCAGTTTCTCCGTCAGAGTTTCCTGCTGCTGGTGTTACTGGAGTTGTTGTAGGACTGCTGCTGCTTCTGGCACTCTGCATCGCTGGACTCTTCATCTGGAGGAGGAACAATAATGGTGAGTGAAGCCATTTTTACTCCACTGTTGGATTCAACACAGTAGAAGACGTACTGCGTATACTGTATGAGCTCTCCCACATTTACAATCAAAGCAGAAATCAGTGAAATTCATGCTAAACATGCAAAAGTGTTTTGTTGGTTTCTTTTCATAAACTCTGTATTTACTTTAACATTTAATATTGTAACATCTCTTTATTTCAGGATTCATTCCTGCAAACACAGAGAAAAATGTCCAGAGTTGTCGTGGCAAAGTCTGCAGCATCAAACAGGTCTTCAGTCACACTGATGAACCAATGGTTGGCTCACCTTTTATCTGTTCTGACCTGTGACAGACCGGATGATGGATGGGTCCTCTTCTGTCGATGGTCCTTGAGGTCGACACGCAGACAGT